CGGGATAAGTGCCACTATGCAGAGCCAGATTAAATATATGACAATGGGAGGGTGCAATATGTTCCTTACATCCTTTTAATATATAAGTAGGAACCTTATCAGGACCGACAGAACTACCGGGTTTTAATTTGTTGATACCAGCTTTGACTTCTGATAATGTAAAGTTGCGTATGTTTACATATCCCCCATATGGTGCGATGTTAGCGGTACATACTTGATTGGGATCTAGAATGGGGTTATTTGGTAGGAATACACTTGAAAAATAGTGCGCAAATGCATCAGCTGCTTCAGTACAGGAGAATTTTTTATTTTTATAAGTCACTGTGGGTTCAAACCCGCCCTCGAATTGCAGGTTAGCAATGTGCTGCCAAAACTTTTTTGGATTAGTCGTAATATTCATTTCGATAGCTATTATGTATGATTTGTAGGCTAACTCAATGCGGTTCTTTAAATTCGAACATAATCTAGAGAAAGCATTATAAACACATACGTCACCATGTTTTTTCCATTGGCGATGAAGTCTTATTTTACGATTGATATCCTTTATGATATCAGTAGAAAACCAGACTGGGTTACGTTTACAATTTAATTTAGATCTCCGTTTTTTGGGTACACAAACATCAAAGACATTGTAAAGTATTTTGTAAAATTCAGCTGTCGCCGAAACAACATCATCGGCGTGAATGACGTTACACCAATTTGCCTTAGCCATCTGATCATACAGTAAAATAAAATCAGCTTTATTAAAATCCCAATCAGTTTTTGGATCAATGCTACTGGGTTCGCTACTTTTAGGTGAATTTAGTTTTATCTCTACGTCTAGCGGGGGATGATAGGGGTCGATATTAACAATGTCTGTCTCAGCCTGTCTCAGCGGCAGTTACTTACACCGCGCTATCAACAGTCCTTGAAAGTACTACATCCAACTTACCTCCAAATACATTAAAAACAAAATTAGTATCACACATGCTGCAAAATGATAAAAAATAACAATAATAACTACAAACATTTTTTGAGGCACTATTTAGGTTAAGATCACCGATAATCAATACAGTTCCATTAAGGTCATTTATAAAGCTTTCAACCTTGCAGAACCAATCAAAATAGACTGCATCCGTAGCACTGGGTGGTATGTTTACGACGCAGATATTTACACTGACGCCATGAAGATTAAATTTAATCCAGACGTCTTCGCCATTAAGGGTTTCTAAATTATGTTGTCTAACAGGCGTGATACCAGGTTTAGTGACAAGCAATACCCCTCCTCCATAAGTTCTTCTGTCACGCCGTATGATACTCCATCCACCGCATACGACCTCAGCGTCTTCCACGGATGAATCTAGGAAAGTTTCAGTCGCAGCTTCGATGGTATGCTCTAGGATTAGTAGTTTGGTTTTCCATGTATGCAGTTTCGTTTTATATATGTTATATATAATATGTTTATTGTATTGTTGTCTGTATAAGGCTGAGTAGTTTTAGTGTTATTTTCCATAGCTTGTGAGGTATCAATAGCTGAAGTGTTCGATCGGTCGGATTCTGCTTAGTGGGATTCTGAGTTGATTTATGGTTCTTAAGCTTTTGAACTTTCGATGTATTTTTGGATTTAGAACCTGAAACAGTACTAGGTTGTTGAGATTGCAAGTGTGATGTTGTGCATACTTTTTTTTAAATTTATTGATCAAAGTGTTCATACATATTTTTTTTATTTGTACCATTAAACCTAAAATGGTTTGTATTGGTACTCACATTCGCAATTACCGCACTGCTTAACATTAAATAATTAGTTAATCTTAACAGTAATCAAAAATATACATTAAAATAAATACCTCCTTTATTGTGTAAGTGGTAAGCACCCATTTGCAATTTTTACTTGGGACGTTCCGGAATTAAGCGCCACCGACTTGAGCGCTCATTGCTTTTGTTGTGGAACCTGTTCTACTAGACTAGACAGTGCATACTACTAATTATTTACAGGTTGTTTCACTAATAAGTAACTTAATAATAACTATAATTCTGATTCAATTCAAAGTTCTTTATATTATCGTAATAGTATTTTTTGAGTTTTTCTTTATAGTTTTTTGTGTTTAATTCTTTTTGGATGTTTTGCGTGATGTTATTTAAAAGAGTTGGAATTAAAAATTCTATTGTTCGCCTACCATAGTAATTTGAGATCCTAGGCACATTTAATTTTTGTTTGGTAATATTTCTTGTAATTACTTTATGGGATATGGGCACTTGGATGATTTTATTATTGAATTGTTCAATTAAGAGGGTCATATGAAATTTCATCTGCATGGGTTATTACCCTAACCTAATATATTTATTGCAGTTTTTGAAAATGTCTAATAAGTTATCTTTATATTGTTGTTTTATTTTTTGAGGTACAATAAGTTTAAGTAATCTTAGTTGTAGTTTATATATTTTTTCGGTATATGACTTAAAGGTTCGTCCATAACTTGAAATTCCGTATGATATAATTGACTCAGCTAAGGCATTATACATATTGAGTAGGATATTATATGGTACTTTAGGTTTTAAAATGTAGAATTTAGCCAATATAGCTCGTAATTTGTCACAGATTGAATCTATGTGAAATCTCCAGCTAAATCTTTTATTTACATTTAATCCTAAGTAAGTGTGATGCGTTACTTGTTCGATTGCCTCATATTTACAAGCCCTATATGAAATTGATTTGTGCAGACATCTGTGACTGTGAGCAACCACCTTAAAATCCGTGTTGTGTTTTATATAGTTTGAGTAAACGTGAAAGATTTTGGTTTTATTTGCATTCAAGACAAGTCCCGCATCATGTGCCCATTTGGATATTTGTGTAAAATCTTGTTGTAGCCATTGCGCTGCTTCTTTTAGGTCCTTGCTGGTAGCCAAAATACACGTGTCGTCCGCGTATTGATAAACTGAACGATGGTTGACGACATGTTCCATATCGTTAACATATGCTAAATAGTGCAAGGGTCCAAGCACCGAACCTTGAGCTGTTCCTTCAGTAACATCGATAGCATCACTAACTTCTTCACAGATTTTAACTTTATATTTACGATTATAGAGGTAGTCTTTGCACTACTTTAAAATCGGGCCACGTACACCGGTATTCTCTAGTTTTGTCAAGAGCGTATCGTGTCGAAGCGTATCAAACGCTTTGCTGAAATCTATGAATAGCAGGATAACGTGGTTTTTGTCATCTAGAAATTTGTTTACATCATTTGTAAATTTTGATAGCAGCTTAGAGGTAGATTTGTTAGGTTGGAAACCATATTGTGAGTTTGCTAAGATGTCATTTTTAATGTAAAAGTCTTGTATCTGATTACAGACGTATCTTTCTACTATCTTGTCAATGACTGGTAGGATAGTAATTGGTCTGTAATTGGCATAATCACTGTGACTGCCTTTTTTATAAATCGGTCTCACAATACCTATTTTTAATTCATCTGGGTACTTTGCTTGATGGATACTATTATTTATTAATTTGACAATAACTCCTATCATCTTACCACAGATAGATTGTATGTCGACACATCGGATATTATCCATACCAGGAGCTTTATTGGTTTTAAGGTTTTTCACAATCTTCATCACACTTTTGGTTGAGGCTCTTTTGAAATACATAGATTTATTTTCGGGGAACATATATTCTGATTTATCTAGAAGCCTTTGGTTATATTTCGGTAAGATTTTTTTTTACACAATTTCTAAATTCTGTTGCAAAGTTATTAGCTATTGATTTTGTGTCAATAGTGTTCTTATTAAATACTTTTAATATTGCCTCATCAATTGAGTTTTTGTTTCGACCAGATAGTGTATTCAAAATTTGCCATAGATTTCTAAGATTCATTTTATTACTATTTATTTGTTCTATATAATATTTATTTTTACTTTTTTCAATTATTTTACGTGTCTTATTTCTTAATTTATTATACTCTAATTTTGTTAATTTGTCTGTAGAATCATTTTTCCATTTGATGAATAATTTGTTTTTTTTACACATATTATCAATTCTACTATTTATCCAAGGATATTTATTTCTGTTACTAATTTTATTTATTTTTCTCATATATTTTGAATCACTATAACAACCATTTAATTTATTTTTGATACAATCGTAAATTTTACTTGGACACTCTATATCTTTTACTTCGGTCCAATCTAGATTATTAAGTAAATTTTTAATTTTATAATTATTAATTTGTTGGATTATTTTTGTATCATTCTGTATTTGTGTTTGGTCGAATCCTACGCACGAGAGTATAATCATACGATGGTCAGCCATTACAGTTCCGAGCGCAGCCGAGTAAAGGTCTAACGAGCGCGTACGAGTAAACATGTGATCTATGCAGCTGCGAGTCGTGTTATTACCGCGTATTTCAATTCTCGTGTAATCGGATATCGCGCTTGTTAGACCGCACTCGGACATACTACTAATGTAGTAGTCTCGTATGTTGTCGCATGTTTTTAAGTCTATGTTAACGTCGCCCAAGAGATAAGTGTCACATAGTTGAAACATAGAATTTGATAGTAGGCTACTTATTTCCTTTACAAATAGGTGCTTACTCTGACTTGGTGGTCTATAAACAGCACAGACGTAAGCGGAGTATTTGTAAGGCGTAGTGATCTTACCAATAATAGTCTCACAGTATATTAATGAGTGACTTACTGGCGCAAATTAGTGGACATCTCTGGCATATAGAATTATACCACCGCCTTTCTGCCTTGCATTCTATAGCCATTGATATTAAACATAGAAACTATATTATCATTTATATTTACTTCACTTAAGATTAAAATATCAATAATCATGTTAGAAGAGTTAATTAACTGTGTTACATAGCAAAAATTTTTAATCAACGATCTTACGTTTATATGGACAATATTAAGATGGTTTTTATAAATGGGGGTATATGCCTACAAAAGTTGTTAATATCAGCACAATCTAATATTTCTTGATGATCGGAAGAGAGAACCTGGGTGACTAATTTTGAAATCTATTACGGATTAAAACTGTGGCCGATTATTTTTGTTTGTGCTGAGAGCTTCTCAATGTCAGCTTCGCTTCGGGCGACTTCAGGCTTGGCTTTGTCATCTTTACGGAGTAGTACCTTTCCATCTTGGAACCAGAGATATTTGTAGGCCGGTCTTAATTTTTGTTGTGCTAGCCATAATAATGACTTATTGGCTTTAGTCAGGGCGCGTCGCATGGTCACTTTCATCTTAGCAACTTCCACGGGAGCCTCGGGAATGATTTGTTCTACCACTAGTTCTTCCTGTTTGGAGGCTCGCACCCACAAAACTTGCGTGTTCTACATGCTTGAGCTGCACCTGTATGTTTCCGTCTTGAATATTTCGACTTTCAACACGTGTAATATTCATTACCTGCGTCCTGTCCATGTTGAGTGTCTCAGATAGCTTGAGAGATATGTTTTCAAGATTTTCGTCTTTAGCTTTAGGGATTCCTATCACTTCTATCACATTATCTAGACGCTGTTGTTCAATATTACGTAGATATTGTTTCAGTGAACTCATTGCAAGCTCAAGATGAGTTTTTTCGTTATGTAGATGGTTGTACTTCTTTTCTAATTCCTGAATATGTTGGTTTTGTGCTTCCACAGTTTTGAAAAGATCGTCAATTTTTGCACAACAGAAGCTCACAGATGTTTCGATTGGATGTAGTTCTTTTTTTAAAACTTTTTACATTTCTGCTGTGATTTCCTTTAAAAACTTCTCTGTGTCTATCACATAGTTGCCTGAGTTTTTGTCAGAGACCACGACATCATCATCTTCATTATCTTCTTCCGGTATAATAAAGGATGATTTTCTGTTAGGTGTATTTTGATGGCATTCGTCACATGTCCAGTCTAGTCTATCCGCATTACGAAGCGCTGAAAGTTGCTTCGCGTTTAGACCACAGCAAGCTTTACTAGCATGAATCACCTTGCTACAGGATCTACATTCCAGTCCAGGTACCTTGGTGGTTATAACTTTGTTGCAGATATCACATTTAGTCATTATGTTTTCGTATTAATATTTTATTTAGGGGGTAGTTACCGCACGTATTAAAATATGTTAACACAGAACCGACAAACACAGCAGCGCGAGATCGAATGACTCGATCGAATGAACTTGATTTTGTGTGCCTCTGTTTTCGATTTTAGTAACTTAACGGTGAGAGTGGTTAACTTATCCTTGCATTCGTCAATTTTTTCATGACATTTATGGATATAATGGAGTAGTTCGATGAATTTCGTGTTCAGCTCAGACATTTGTTGTTGTAATATTTTAAAATTGGAGGTGATATTGATATAACCATTCGTAAAATACTATCTGTATCACTTAAGGTTTCCTCAACAGAGTCTACTTTAAGTGATATAGATAGTATTTTACGAATGGTAATATTGGACTCGCGTACAGGAATAGGTGATCCAACTGGAATCTCAGAGTAATTACCACCCCTCTTCGCAGTACAGCAACATTCAGGGCAAATCCAAAAAGACCTCTCATCCAATGTCAATGTCCGATTATTGCATAAGTAATGATAAAACTTGCCATATGATTCATTCATATACTGGAGAAATTCTTATCCGGGTATTAGATTTTTCGCATGCTGCGCACATCATTTTGTTAGCTTAAGTAAACGATATCGAGTACCAACAAACCGTATAAAAAAGGCGCGGTGAAGCGGTGGCGGCGAAGAGGTGGCGAGAAAAAGGTCGTAAGCGCCGTGCAGAGACCGGCGCTTACGCCTTCGTACAAGACACTTCACTTATCACAAATCGTTATTAATTTGAATATTTTCCAAGTCATAGCTTGTTAATCATTGAGTTATACAAGACTAGAGGAGCAAACCACATAACCGCGTGTCGAAAAAAGTGTAGCCACTATCTAACCGCGAGGACGTAGCTTTGACACCACTAAACCTTTTTAACTAAACATATATCTGTCTCATTTACACAAGTCGCGAAAACAATACCGTCGCTAAGATTAGATAAAGATAGACACACAAACATGCAGTGACGGGTTGGTATTGCCTACTATATGAAATTTTACCCAAAAATAAGCAATAAAAAGGAGTTTTTTAGCTGCAGTTATTTGTTTTTATTTTAAATATGTATCTTTGCTTATCCGATGAATAGAAGTATAACTAATGAAATGAAAGATTTTTTTTCGAAGTATATTTTATTGTACTGATAAATCAAACAAAAAAAAATAATTTTGGGTTTCTTATCAAGAAGATCTGAGTTTGAAATATGCATCAATTGTGAAAGCATCGTCTTTTAAAGGAGACGGGGATTTCTGAGCCCAATTGTAATAAGTTGAAATATGGTTTAAAAAAACGTTATATTTTTCTATTTCAAAATATAAAAAAAAATTACCCAATTCACAACCTGGAAGACGAGAAATCTTGAAAATAAGTTTATGTCACGAATAAAATAGGAAATTGATTACTTTAATCGATTAATGTGAATGAGTTTTAACAATCAAACATAAAAACAACTTACATCAGATGATTGATTCAATTAAAGTAAATAGATACATTACAATATATTAACATAGTGTCAACAGTTTAAAAACTAAAATATCAATATAATAAAAATAAATCTTAAAATCGATTCACGTTTACATTTCGATTTATTACTTGTTTTTTGTCAACTGTATTTTTAATCTGTGCTGATAGTAACAGTCCCTGCCTGACTCAACTCAATCTATGATCACTCGTATTGTTTAGTACGTGTGTGTTTTAAGTGTTTCCCATTGTTTTATTGATTTATATTGCTCGACCACTGCTTTCTTTCAACGGACTTCTGATCTTACTTAATTTGTACAACGCTTGCTAACATACCGAACACCGATAATCTTGTTTATTCGTTTGATTTTGGCTCGTTATTGTGGATTTTACGGCGTGGATTTTATCTATTAGATATTGACTTAATGGATCACTGTGTGAATTGTGGCATAGCGACTACTCGCTGTAATACACTAGGCCCACGATCCTTCCAAAATTGCAAACGCACTTCAAAATGAGCTGTTTAGTATATGTTTTTGCCAACTTGTTGCATAACCTCACTTTTACTAAATCTCTTATAATTCTGCTCTCAGATTGCCAAAGTCCGCAGAATTTTCAGTGATGTTTTGATAATATATAAGCTATTAATTTACACCACTTTCATCTTTTTACAATCTGGGCCCGAGAATGTATGAAAGCGTATCAGTCTCCTTTGGTCTCATGACATTAGCTACAAAAACTGTGGTTATTAATAAATTTTTAAGATAATACTAAATGGTGTTAATCTGTCGTACTAATCCGCTTAAATAAACACGGTCGCTATCGCTTTTTCGTCCTAGTTTATCTTGATCCCGGAAGTGCTTAGAACTAATGAGAGTAGATTTCGAAGGCACCCAGTGAGTCTCTTTTCTCATCAATCGTATTATTTCCACCAACTTTTTACGGTGTGCTGCATCTTGAGGTACCCTGAAAAATTATTAATATAAAATAGATAATAAAATATAATTAATAGATCTATAGATCTCTAGAATATTCTAATATAAGAATAATTAATTCCTTTTTATGAAGGTTGGAACATAGTTTTTATTAAAATTTCCAAAATATTTAAAATCAGGGCTAACAAGTTAACTTATTTCATAAATTATATAGTCGTAGTAGTGTAATGTGGGAAAATTGTAAAGGCAGAAAAGCGGCAACATTGAACCTAAATTGCAATATTCGATATTTTATTTCATTTTTTTGTGTTTTTACGTTAATATGAAAACATAAACTAAAACTTACGTGTGGAAAGTGATTTCGCTTGATTAATTATGTTTTTGTGACCTTGAATCGCATTCTTTCACTACGCATTTACCCATTTTTCTGTCGTGAATCGTTCGGCTCAACTCGGTCGGCGTCGCATTGAACACTGAACCGACGTTAGCTGGGCATATGGCTGTGGCCATATGTGAAGTGGCAACGCTTTGGTGCGGCAATTACTTATCTAGTGTAACATATAAATCAATGTTGTTAATTGTAACACAGTTTACGTTCTTTATTGTTCAAATTAATGGAAAAAAGTTCACAGTAATTGGTTTAACACAATGCAATACAAGTTTATCGACACTATATTTAGAAAATTAACTCGAAACAGTCACGTGAAACAAGATTTTAACGATTAAATGTGCGGAACGTTTAGTTATATCAACCGCGCGGAATCACTCTCTATAGTACGAGTAGTACAAGACAATGTCTGAATAATATATCATTAAAATCTTCAATGTATTTGGAAGCATTTCTGCAGTATCCTACTTTACAATAAAAAAGTAATCTTAGAAAGTAACTCTATATAATAAAAAAAACAAGTATTTGAATCGGTTCAGTCGTTTCCGAGATATCAGCGATTATAAGTAAAAAACACACGTCAAGTCGTTGTTTTTATTAAGTATAATAACATACTTCAAAATAAGAAGTTGTATAAACATGACTATTTTTTTTTCTTTTTTTATGAATAAAAAGTACCTATTAATTTAAAACGAATTTGAATAAATGTGATTTCTCTGACAAAAAATAAAGCACACCGGATGTTTCGAACAGCGACTCGGATAAGTGAGTTGAGAGCTGAAATATAATTATAAAATTGTTTCGTCTAGTGTAAAAATACAAATTGAAGGAATGAACGCGTTGGTTAAAATCAAATTATATAAGCTGAGAAATTTTAATGATCTTATAATTGAAAAAACATAAATTTAAAAATTAACATTAATGCAAAAATATTCTTTGTTAATTCTTTAGTTTATACTTTTAATTAAGAATTTATATGTAGAAGAACTAATTGTTAATACGTAAAATTGAATAAATACATTAGAAGTTTCCATGCAAATTTAAATAAGTATACTTCAGGGATTTATGTGGCTCTCAAACATTCAGACTTAAGAAGAATGAGAATAGTAATACTATTTATTTGCACAAAACATGGTATAAAGATTTTACACAGGGAAATGTGCACACAGGGAAATGTGCACACAGTTTGCTTTTTAAAGACTGCATTCTTATAGATCGCCCAGTAGAGGCAGCGTAAGAGATTCCACTACCCCATATCCTCCCGTGGGTGTCGTAAGAAACGCCAGAGGAAAACTTAAATTTTATATTAGTGTTAAACGTACTTCAACACTCCTCGATTTAATAAGTATCTATTTACAGCATTTTTTTATCGGATAAGTGTGGCAAACAAGCACACAGTCCACCTGATGGTAAGTGGTTGCTGTGGCTCATAGGCATCTACATCTTTCCTAAATTACGAATTAAAATGCAGGTGCGTTGTTACCCCTGAGGACTAAGATGGAATGCCTCGTTTCCAGTAAAAAGGGTCTTTGGTTCTCTAAACTCAACATACGAAACAGAGCAGCGTTAAGCTGCTATTTTACGCTGGTATTCTGTGAGAGCGTGGACCTTCCCTGGTCGAGCCGACCCATTCGGGCTACAACTATACCAGTAATATAGCTGCAGCATGATTCTACCACGTAAAATCACTATACAACAAATTTCCAAACCGTAAGAAACATTTATATAAACATACATAAAAATATATTTATGCATTACGTTTCCTTAAATTACAAAGCATACCTCTATTTCAGGAAAATATATTATTATTATTCTCGTTTTGTCTGGACTTATAATAGAAAATAATAATAACTAAAGAATTAAAAAAAATTGCAGCGAAATTAGACAAGCAGATTAACATTATATTAACAAAGATTTTTTACTGTCATACCTGTTCATATTCTATTGAATTATAACTTTGTAAATTTAATTTACTCGTCTTTAAACTCATAACGTGGCAATTCATTTTGTCGGTCGGTGAAGATGAAAATCATTATTTACTGGCTCGTCTACGAATCACCTTTTATATCTACCTATACATTCATAATGTGATATAAATTAATGAAATAAAAACATTATTTATTTTGTTCTTAAAAATTAATAAATGTGTACAAGAAAACTACGCATTTAAGGCAAAGAGAAG